ATGTACAGACAAAAAGATGGGTTCTAGAAAACGAACGTCGACAGTTTACTACATCACGTCCGCCGTCAAAACTGAATCAGTCACAATATACTTTTGTCACTGTTTTATATTTGGTCATTTGATGATTATGGAATAAAAAATGATGAGTATATTAAAGTAAATGATGTATAATGATTCTGATAATCGCTTATCAGGCTTCTTTTGGTAATCATGGTTTGTATAAAAACTGATTAGTTTCCGGTTGGTATTCCTATTTGCTACGGATGCTGAATGAAATTTTTAAAAAATGTTTCAAATGCGTGGTAAGATATAAAGTTGAATTGAACGTCTCAATTCATACATAACGTCTATGCGTTAACTTAATAAACTTAATAAGCTGGGGTCTGATATCGAAAATATCTAAATAACATTTATTGTATGGTATAACAATATTCTCTTTCGTTTATGATCTGTTGGCTCGATGTTATCTGTATTCATACACTCTAAACATGCTGCAGTTTGCGTGTAATAATAGAATGATAAAAAGATATAAGACATTGAAAATATAGTTCCAAATCGCCACTTACATCTGTATATTTAATAATTGACAATCCTATAGCCAGGAAGTTTGCTTCCCGTTACCGGTAGCTACTGCCTGTTTCCTCCGGATTTCAAACATTTTGAACGATATCATAACTATATTTGCTCCTGCTAAGTAAATGTCAATAGACAGAGAACAATGATGTCTTGTTCTTAACATCATCTCAAATGTTCAAGTTACAACGCTAAACAATATGATACACTCAACAGTACAGCCGGCCATACAAACAACTTGAACCGTGTATTATGTACACCATATTGCTTCCGTACCATACCCGTCTCACTGAGTCGCTTTGAACATTTTCTATATATGGGTTGCAAAATAAATATTTACAAGTATTCGCAAATACATTACGAATCCCAGTGGAAACCTGATTCCTCGAGGATTTTTCCTCAATTACGGACTACACTGTACATGTAACTAAGTTTGTAAAAGACAATTTCACGTCACTAAGACTTACCGATTAAAGTGTCTCATTACCTACATTTCGTGTAAAAGTTGAATCAATGACATGTTCGGTTTTCGGCCTCGAAGAAATTCATTAAATATAAAGACTAGATTGCATGTTCATTTTCTGTTTACCGAAATAGCTGTCATGCAATTAACATTGGTTAGGTAGGAACATCACGATATAGGAACTGCCTTACGCTGCCACTGTTTGGCAAGCAGACATGGCTAATGAAATGTGCATTATTAATGTTAATAGGTAGTTAGCAGGGAAATATACATTTACACTCATCGAATTATTGGTCATTTAAGAAAACATGAGTGAGTAAAAGATGTTTATGTGAATGTAACGTACAAATATTTGTCACTCTAATATTACCGGAGATTGTTATATAGATACGTGACCATCAGAAATGTAAAAATTCATAACTATAAGTAGGTTGTGTACTAACACGGTACTCTGGTCTGTAAACTTCTAAGTTACTATCGAGTATATATATAATACAAGATTATCGCAGTCATATACATGTATACCTACTTGGTATTAGAGGTTTACATTTAAATCTATTACTTTCAATGGCTTTATTTCAATGGCGCTCTCTTTAACCCTGTTACCAACGTCCATTCTAGAGTAACACAATTTACATCTTTGCTATGTTAGAATGTATCCTGGCAATTTTTATATCTTTGCTATGTTAGAATGTATCCTGGCAATTTTTATATCTTTGCTATGTTAGAATGTATCCTGGCAATTTTTATATCTTTGCTATGTTAAAATGTATTCTAGCAATTTTTATATCTTTGCTACAAAGCATCGAATTTGTGCTTTCTGTGATAATAAGGGTTTTACTTATTATTGTATGTGTTTTTTAGTCATATTGAAAGTTTATAATGATATTATGATTATCATTATAGCTGGCTAACTAGGGTTCATTGACTTATATGGCTATCAGTGGCATGTATATTCATTTCTTATTTCTTGACAAAGATGTTTTTTTCTGCCTTTCATCAATTTGTTTTAATAACTGCAATGCTTAATGAGTTATCGACATGTCATGATCCATGTTATACCGATAGTCATGTTATACCGATAGTCATGTTATACCGATAGACATGTTATACCAATAGTCATGTTATACCGATAGTCATGTTATACCGATATACATGTTATACCGAGTCATATTATACCGATAGTCATGTTATACCGATAGACATGTTATACCAATAGTCATGTTATACCGATAGTCATGTTATACCGATGGTCATGTTATACCGATAGCCAAGTTATACCGATAGTCATGTTATACCGATAGCCAAGTTATACCGATGGTCATGTTATACCGATAGTCATGTTATACCGATAGTTATGTTATACCGATAGTCATGTTATACCGATAGACATGTTATACCGATAGCCACGTTATACCGATAGACATGTTATACCGATAGTCATGTTATACCGATAGTCATGTTATACCGATAGTATACCGATAGTCATGTTATACCGAGTCATGTTTTACCGATAGTCATGTTATACCGATAGTCATGTTATACCGATAGACATGTTATACCGATAGTCATGTTATACCGATAGTCATGTTATACCGATAGTCATGTTATACCGATAGCCACGTTATACCATGTTATACCGATAGTCATGTTATACCGATAGTCATGTTATACCGAGTCATGTTATACCGATAGACATGTTATACCGATAGACATGTTATACCGAGTCATGTTATACCGATAGACATGTTATACCGAGTCATGTTATACCGATAGTCATGTTATACCGAGTCATGTTATACCGATAGTCATGTTATACCGATGGTCATGTTATACCGATAGTCAAGTTATACCGATAGTCATGTTATACCGATAGTCATGTTATACCGATAGTCGCGTTATACCGATAGACATGTTATACCGATAGGCATGTTATACCGATAGACACGTTATACCGATAGTCGCGTTATACCGATAGACATGTTATACCGATAGCCAAGTTATACCGATGGTCATGTTATACCGATAGTCATGTTATACCGAGTCATGTTATACCGATAGTCATGTTATACCGATAGTCATGTTATACCGATAGTCATGTTATACCGATAGTCATGTTATACCGAGTCATGTTATACCGATAGACATGTTATACCGAGTCATGTTATACCGATAGACATGTTATACCGATAGTCATGTTATACCGATAGTCATGTTATACCGATAGTCATGTTATACCGAGTCATGTTATACCGATAGCCACGTTATACCGATAGACATGTTATACCGAGTCACATTATACCGATAGCCACGTTATACCGAGTCATGTTATACCGAGTCATGTTATACCGATAGTCATGTTATACCGATAGACATGTTATACCGATAGCCATGTTATACCGATAGCCATGTTATACCGATAGACATTATACCGATAGCCACGTTATACCAGTCATGTTATACCGATAGTCATGTTATACCGATAGTCATGTTATACCGATAGCCACGTTATACCGATAGACGTGTTATACCGATAGCCATGTTATACCGATGTTATACCGTTAGCCATGTTTTACCGATAGTCATGTTATACCGATAGACATGTTATACCGATAGTCACATTATACCGAGTCATGTTATACCGATAGACATGTTATACCGATAGTCATGTTATACCGATAGTCATGTTATACCGATAGACATGTTATACCGATAGACATGTTATACCGATAGACATGTTATACCGATAGTCATGTTATACCGATAGACATGTTATACCGATAGACATGTTATACCGAGTCATGTTATACCGTTATACCGAGTCATGTTATACCGAGTCATGTTATACCGATAGCCATGTTATACCGATAGACATGTTATACCGATAGACATGTTATACCGATAGCCATGTTATACCGATAGACATGTTATACCGATAGACATGTTATACCGATAGTCACATTATACCGATAGACATGTTATACCGATAGTCATGTTATACCGAGTCATGTTATACCGATAGACATGTTATACCGATAGACATGTTATACCGATAGACATGTTATACAGAGTCATATTATACCGATAGTCATGTTATACCGATAATTATGTTATACCGATTGTCATGTTAGACATGAGCCATGCTTGTAAGTTAACGGAGGCGATGCTCGAACTCAGTGTTATGCTGATACAGAAGAATTCAGACTTTTCTTCCGGTACATGTATCGATTGTAGGACCAAGTTCAAACACTCAGACATATGTTGCATCTGCACCAGGTGTAATCAATGTACCCAACCAGCCTACCTATCTTTGATGCATTCCATTGATGGGAGTGGCATATTTAATTACCATCCTTGTTTTAAGAGCTATTATAGTTTCCAGTAACATAGCATTATCATTTATCAAAAAAGTAACTGACCAATATTTTCCTCCATGAACGATAAATTTGACATTGTAAAATCTCAGAGCTTCAGCATCTTCTGACATTAGCATCAAAACCGAATTGAAACGACTATGAGGTACAATATTGACAATAACGGCAACCCTCTTTTGATCTCAGGGGGTAGAAACTGACATCAGATACAATGTTACGGCACTCATATTTATACGTTTCATGACACTCCACGGAACAATGATGCGAAATTGACGTTAATTTGGTACCAAAAGGTAAAAAACACATAGTCTTACAGAAGGTAATGTCTGTGAACGTTTAAGAGTCGTTATTCGAAGAATGATGACTATTTATTATAGTAGTGACTTTGTTTCGCTAGTAGTTTCGTAAAAGACCTTTTACAGGAGATACAGCCTCCGAGACATGTATGACATTTCAGTACAATCAGATAAAGTCAGAAATAAAACCCCATGGAGATATCACTGTAGAAAAAAATATTCATCACAAGATTTCGTTTGACTTAAAATCCACTTCAAATCAGGTCGCTGTTAATGTAAATTTTAATTGCTTACCTTTCCTTATCCCCTGGAGGTTTTCATGGATGCTGACGTTTGAATAATTTAGAAGTTGAATGACAACACTTGTTGTCACTAGTAAGATTCCAGTGTACAGCACTTGTTTACGGACAGGTCTTCTCACCCGACACCAGGCCATGTCGCACGCATAGTTTACACACTTCCCAGTCTGAAATAAAACAAATTATTTATACACAACACAAATATAGGTACATACTTTTATACACCCATCCCCTCTCAGGCTGTAATACAGTTATATATAGCAACACTTGCATACAAGTAATGCCCTCACTGGACCTTCAGTATAAAGATGACCAAACCTCCAAAACTGGCCAATCAACGTAGCATTGATAAAACAATGGACATCAAACGGAGCACTATCTCGTACGACTAATGACGGAGACAAGACACACAAGAGAATGACACCTTTCACTATCCCACGAATCAATTATAGAGCCCAGTATTTATCTTCTCTGTGTTCAATAAGTATAGATCCGTGAGACACGGAATAACGCCCCCTTCCCCGATATAACACATTAATTAGTTATTGACCTTTGTTTATTAGTTATAATTATAGATATATTTTTCCCTCACACTTGCCCCTACCAAGCCAAGAGACAGAAATCGCTCAAATCTACGGTAATCGTGAAGAAGAGGAAGATCCTACTTTTCTCATTGTCACCTTTCCTCGCCGTTTCAAACCAAATTCTGATCGACAGGTTGGCAATGCATTGTATTATCACTATCCTCTCTATTGCCTTCAAAATGTGAAGAATACAAAAGAAATATAACGTGTTATACAAAACATTCAGGACCTAAATACATGATTACATAATAGACAATACAAAGTATCAGCCTAGTAGTTCGCAATAGTCTCCGTAAACAATTCTTGTAACGAGACGATAAAATCAAATTTTAGTAAAATGTATCAAGAGTGCACTCATAGTACATAGTATAGAAACACTACATCATACATATGTAACGAGACTATAAAATCAACATTGTACTTTTTTGTGTATACGCATATACCTATTAAAGATACAATTTATTATAATGAGACTATGACGTCACCTTTGTAGTTATATTTTAATATATACATGTATCCAGATTACGCGCCTATTACGTAGTACACATACATCACATTATGATGAAACTATGAAATCAACATTGTAATTTAATTGATTTCTAGAGTATGCACATAATTGGTAGTATTGATGAGTTGCGGTTTCAACTTTGAAGAGATAATGTGGCTGAGTGGTAATTAGGACCACACTACCGATAATACAACTTCGACATTTTTTTCTATAGCTTCTACTGAAATCAACCTGAATCTATCCACTTCATTGAAGACAAAGGCGATACTCATGCTTGTAGCTGATGCTATGAGCATTTAACTGCTGACGTGTTTATGCCGTAGCTACCATTTAGAAGTAACTTTAAATAGAGGACATAAAGATTAAAGCACGTCTCCCTGTGTCTATATAACCTTTTTTGATGAAATGGTCCATCGGGTTATCGAATTTCTTTAGAGAATAATGAATTTAGGTATTATCCAATACAAAAGTTTACTTTGAGAACTGACAAGCATATGTTACATTCACTTCATTGATAATATGCGTATTTCAGACATACGTTATTGTCATATATATATACAGTTTTATCTGTTAACTTAGAGAAGGCATTGTATACCATAAATACCTATAACAGTAGAGTGCATTATGTCTGTATACATCACATATATACGTAGAATGCACCATCAATAATCAATTTATATACAACTGTTCGCCCTGTACACGTAAACATGAAATGTACTTATACGATGAGTGCTATTCAAGCATTTTGGTAGACACATTGGTTACAACACAATTAATTCTTAATTTCAACAAAATGGCGAGTATTTTAGTTCCACAAATTTCGCCAACGACACGGATATGGTACGCTGAGGTCTTCTTTTCCAAACTTGCACATACAAAGGGCGAATAATTTACTCACTTATAAAAACATTATATCACACCATTTGTATGTGCGCGTGTTTATGTTTACAACGTTACGTGAACATATAGGTTTACAACTGGTTTTAATGGTAAAGTTATCAATAGCCTGAATGTCGATGATCTAATATTGACACATGTAATTGTAAGTACAAGAACGCAGTAATTGTATCTAGACCAGGTTTAACCTAAGTCTGATTTGTACCGACAAATATGTAGGATTTAAACGTAACACGTAAATGTCGGGACTTGTCTATAAACCTTCTATCCTGGCGCGATGTATGTGTGATTTACAACTAGTGTTTCAGTAATAGCATAATAAAAATAAACTGTAGTGTTTAGACGTCATGAGAATACCCTGTGTTTGTAGACGTCTTCTATCACAATCAACATTATATACAGCTAACAGTTACAACAGATTTAACCAGATCTCCATATAAACCTTACTTAAACGTCGGGCTACTACAAAAACATGCATATTTCTCTGTATATGAAAACGTATGAGGAAGGAAACAGCCAACCTTCTATAAAAATGTAGTAACTTGATGCCTATCAAGCACATGTAGACGAGGTTAGGACGGGAAATGACAAAAGGCTCCATATACTCTCTTTTGTCTGTGACACAAAACCGACGTGACTTACTCCACACACCCGTACAAACTGAATCACTATGGTTCAGGACTTGACTGACAAAAACGAAACTGTCTTACCGACATGGGCCGTGTAATTATCTTCTGTATAACAGTTTAGTCCACTCAATTTAACGTAAAGCGTGCTAGGTATGTTTATGCATATACTACACCCGACTTAAAAAGACGGAAGTAAAAATTGGTTTGATGGATAATTCAAGCAGTAAACTTTGCATTGTAAATACACACACGCATATACTACACAAACACAAATCGAATAGCTGAATTCCTTTCTATTAAAGCTCAATCGAAATATCGCTAATGCTGTTGAACTCGTTATAGTATGTCAACCGTGACGATTGCCTCAACAGCTAATTACTCGTTAAAATTATTTAGGTGACAGTCATTCTAAAACCAGATTTTGTACCTACCTTAATGAGTTATTAATTAAGTACACAAAAACACCACTACACAGTCGTTACCTCCTTCCACCACTTATTCCGTACAACAAAATTTGGACACACAGGTGTGACCTACACAGGTATATATGGAGAAGAAAGCACGACTACCCTATCATGAGCACGTGTACACAACTGAAACTCGACAACAGGCCGCACTCGAGTACATATACTGTGTAAAAGACAAGAGATCGATATACAATGTTTGCCATTAGAACTCGAGGTCTATGCCTATCACCGTGCGTGCTGAACGATAACCCTTCTAATTAAAAATTGATACAATTTTACCAGTTATTGTCTGGCTGATTTTTAGACCAAAGTCCACTTATAATATAACGATACCGTTAGTTTGACCACCAGTGGTCTAAATTTTCACACCAACTTTCACTGGCCAAAATAAATCATTGATAAATAGTCAGAACCGCTGATGTATAGGTTTGTAGTATATCACTCTGGATTATTGATTCTAATTAATTAACATACATAATAAAGCGAAGGAAACTATTGTTTGACATTGTAATGACTCCTGGTGTCACGGAAGAGGTGGTTATCTGTTTCTCTCTCGATGAGAAAATCCCACAATGTCTTCTTAGCGGTCGTTCCGGGTGAATGAAAACTGCCGAGTAGTTGGGTTTCACGGTTCAACAGTCGCCACTCAGATGATTTTCATTGTTGTACATTAAGTTTAGATATAAAGGACGCAGAATAACCTTTTACGTAGGGTTAAGTAATGTGAAAAACAAATGGGAAACAACTCATTTATCGTTTAGGAAACTTTGGAGAGAAAAGATACACTGCATTACCCGAACGTGTATTGGTTGTAGTATACAATGAGTGTAATATTGTATTGATGTATTGTACGATGAGTGTAATATTGTATTGATTATAGTGTACGATGAGTGTAACATTGTACTGGTGTATTGTACGATGAGTGTAATAATGTATTAGTTTTAATGTACGATGAATGTAATATTTTATTGATGTATTGTACGATGAGTGCAATATTGTATTGTACGATGAGTGTAACAATGTATTGATGTATTGTACGATGAGTGTAATATTGTATTGTACGATGAGTGTAACAATGTATTGATGTATTGTACGATGAGTGTAATATTGTATTGTACGATGAGTGTAATATTGTATTTGATGATGAGTGTAACAATGTATTAATGTATTGTACGATAAGTGTAACATTGTATTGATGTATTGTACGATGAGTGCAATATTGTATTGTACGATGAGTGTAATAATGTATTGATGTATTGTACGATGAGTGTAACATTGTATTGATGTATTGTACGATGAGTGCAATATTGTATTGATGTATTGTACGATGAGTGCAATATTGTATTGATGTATTGTACGATGAGTGCAATATTGTATTGTACGATGAGTGTAATAATGTATTGATGTATTGTACGATGAGTGTAACATTGTATTGATGTATTGTACGATGAGTGTAATATTGTATTGATGTATTGTACGATGAGTGTAATATTGTATTGTACGATGAGTGCAATATTGTATTGTACGATGAGTGTAATAATGTATTGATGTATTGTACGATGAGTGTAACATTGTATTGATGTATTGTACGATGAGTGCAATATTGTATTGTACGATGAGTGTAATATTGTATTGATGTATTGTACGATGAGTGCAATATTGTATTGTACGATGAGTGTAACATTGTATTGTACGATGAGTGCAATATTGTATTGTACGATGAATGTAATATTGTATTGATGTATTGTACGATGAGTGTAACATTGTATTGATGTATTTTACGATGAGTGCAATATTGTAGTGATTGATGAGTGTAACAATGTATTGATGTATTGTCCGATGAGTGTAACATTGTATTGATGTATTGTACGATGAGTGTAATATTGTATTGATGTATTGTACGATAAGTGCAATATTGTATTGTACGATGACTGTACTATTGTATTGATTGTATTGTACAATAAGTGTAACATTGTATTGATGTATTGTACGATGAGTGTAACAATGTATTGATGTATTGTCCGATGAGTGTAACATTGTATTGATGTATTGTCTGATGAGTGTAACATTGTATTGATGTAT